GTGGTGGCACAGGGGTGATTTGGTGATGGGAAACCCGCGGGGATTACAATCGAGATGGAAAAAAAAAATGTGCAAAATGATGTAAAAATAAACTTCGTAAAAAAAAAAAAAAAAAGAGGCCACTGTCCCGATGAATACAGCTATACAAGACACATGGCAGGCAGGCTGGAAAGAAAGACAATAGTCCCTGATCTGAAGGAATTTACATGACTGAGTCAGTCTCCTGGGTGCTGGTACAACTACCTTCCCCAGAAACACAGTCAGAAACCTAATTAATGTCTCAACTTCTCCCTTTCCCTTCATACCCTTCCCATATCCCCAAATAAGAGCCTTCTCGATTCCACCTCCTGAATATCACTAGAACGGTGTTCTTAAAGTTAAGTTAATGGTTACACATTAGGAGGTGATATATACAAAGAGGTCAGTGGAAATTTACTGGAAATAGGAGTTTTGGGAGACAAAGAGGGTATAGGGACTGGGATTCTAGGCAGACACAGAATCACAGAAGGTCAGGAAGACGTGCTCAAGCTTGCACTGTCTCTTGTAGACATAGAAAGCCAGAGAAGGTTTTCACTAGGGGAGTCAGATTTTCACATCAGAATTTAGAAAAAGCAATTGAGCTGCAATGTGGCAGATGGGTAGGAGCAAGTGAGACTTGTAGTCGGGAGATCTGTGAGTAGACCAGAACTCCAGATGAGAAAACATACAACACAGATACAACATTCCAGGCAAAACTGATGAGGGGAGGCAGAGACCAGCCTGTCCTCATTTACCCATGAATTTATAGCACTTAACACTGGTAAGTCCCAGGTTCCAGTTTGCTTGGATGGCCCTAATTTGAAAAAGCCCTAAAGCCCTATGTCCCAGATAATCCGTTAGTCCCTGCAAAGCAAGATGGCTGATTAGTCCAGGTGAGGATCTGGAAGTAGAGGGGAGAAAAGTAGAAAGCAGTGGCCCTGAAAATAGATCTACAAGTCTCCCTGAAAAATACAGCAGCAAAAGTAAATCAGCATACAAAACAAGAATGCAAAGCAGGGATTAAAATGTAACAAAGAGTCAACCCAGGCAGCCCATGCTTGCTTGAATAGGATCCAGGAAAAAAAGAACAAGGCAAAGAAAAACAAACAAAAGAAAAAACCCGAAGGGAGATAATTATCAGTGAAATAACACAAGAAAATAGCAAGAAACATTTTTCCTTATTAAAAGAGCACAGAAAGTACTTGTCGAAAGACCCACATCAAAGTACAGCATCAGAAAAAAAGATTCTAAGCATTGTGGGTAAAGAAAATAACGTGAGAACTTCCTGTTCCACGTATTGCTAAAGAGCAATCCCAGAAGATGAAACTCTTTACAAAAGACTGAGTGTAAAAGTAAAAAGTGTACATAGTTGTAAAAAGAGGGCTGGGAGAAATTTTTGAGCATGTTTATTTTCTGTGTACTTTATAAACTGAGTGATAGTTTAATTAATAAACAAGTCAAGCTTATTACTGGAAAAAAATTATAAATCTCCAAATGCTTACCCAGATTGTTTGAAATAAAAAGAAATTCCAGGTACCAAGGTATTAGTGACAAGTCTACAGAGGAAATAAGCCTACCACTTGGATTTTGTGAACTGGTCCTTGCTCATGAATAAAATGACAGAAAGTTAGAGACCATTTACGCCTGTGACCGCAGGGTTAAATGGGCAAAAAGCACCGTAGGCCTGAGAAGGCAGAAGTTTTAACTCCAAACGTATACCAATGATGCCTCTTACTCTCACGAATTAGTTCCTCTCTTTGAAGTAGACAAAAGCTTTCTAAGATAGTGATTAGGAACTAAGAAGTACTTTTATTTCATGTCCCAAAGCTTCAGCATTTGCAATATACTTAAAGGAAATTATCTTTGCTCTCTTAAGTAGTAGAATATTTTTGTCAATGAGAATCAATCTTTTGATTCACATTTTAAATGAACTTTATGGTTCTGGGTTAATTAACCTACAAATGTAATATTGTGTAAATTAACTTCTGGAAAATAATTCGGCACAAGCCTATTCCATGCAGACTCCTCAAATAAGGATGCTTAATGCACTGTAACCTTTCCCCCTGGACTCCATAGGGCACCTTTCCCGGGCTCTGGTTCCGGTTTTCTATTTCCTGAATCTATTTTGCTGGCTTCTATTCCATTGCCTGGCCCTAAAGAGATGAAAATGTCCAAATTCTGGTTGACATCATCTCCCTCGGTAATTCTACTTTATGCAATTTCTCTGGATGAATCCCATAGTAAATTTTGACCAAAGCATTCTTTCTTGAGCTTCACATTAATATTTTTCATTGTTTCAGGGGTATCTTTACTTTTGTTCTTGCACTGATCCTTTGAATTCAGCATGCTCAGGAAAAAACAAACAAACAAA